GCACTTGGCCTTGTTGAATCTCATACAGTTAATGCTGTATGCCACCCCGTGCTGTGCCCCTGTGCCCATTCTTCTGCTAGTCAGTCCCTGTTGTGTTGAATGGGTATATTACTTAACATAGCATCCTTTTTTCCTACAATTAAGAGTAATCACCTTTTCCACTGACTTATCCAGTCAAATGCTTCTCCTGATGTTCTTATGAAAGCTGATGCGTTTTTTTCTGTATGCAGCTCGAGTGATAATTCTAGTAAAAAAATTTGTGTATAAATATGAGGCAAGACTTGTATTAGACTTGAAAATCTGTGTTCTGTGTGGAGAGAATGGTAAAGGTGGATAGGGTGTTAAGAGTTGCTGTAATTTTATGATCCAATAAAAACTATTGCTGTACCTTACCATACGTATAGGGAAGAATGGTCCACTGCCCACAGGGCCTTTGCTGATGACAGCTTCTTCTGTTTCCTTGTGGATACTACCAGGTGAAGCTGGCATATCAGGAGTCTGAGATTGCAGCCCTCTTGAAGAAGATTCCCTTGGGCACTAATGAGATGAACACTATTCGAGGAAGAGCTGAAGAACTGCGAGAAGGGACATTATGTGATTACCGTCCTGTCCTGCCTCTGATGTTGGCTAGCTTTATATTTGATGTTCTGTGCACTCCAGGTACTGTCTGCATTGGCTTGAGTGTGCAAAGGGCACATTCTGGGATGCCAGGTCTTAAGGGGTTTTCCAAGAGAAACTGTCTTCTGTACAAGAACAACCTAATCTTGATTCTTCACACACTGTTGCTTGCTCTTCACCTCCATGTTGCTTTAGAGGTATTTTATGCCCCAATGGAATTATATCTCCTTCTGCTTACATTTGAAACCCACTGGAAACATACCACATTTAAGCACTCTGTGTGTGTTTGTAAAATAGTTATAAATGACTGACTTTTCTAATTTTATGCTGGTTGTATTCAGAGGAAGCTAATATAAATCTAGTATTTCAAAAAGAACACAACAACCTGGGATTAGAAGACTGACTTGGCAATATACTGGTTTGCAGCCTTCTGAGTTTAGAGAGGGAAAGGGAAAAAAACCCAAGACAGTGCTGTGGTCTTGAAACTGGTACCAGGCTAGGAATAGGACCACAGGAAGCTCTGCAAATTCAGAAAGCTCTCAGAAATGGCTTTTGCCTTGAGGTCCTAGTTTTGAAAGCTAAGCACTAATTCTCTTGTCTTCTTTCAGTGGTTTCTCCTACAGGCTCTAGACCCCCAAGCCGTAATTGGAATAATGAAATGCCTGGAGATGAAGAGCTTGGTTTTGAAGCAGCTGTTGCTGCTCTTGGTAAGAATCTTTTACAAGAGAAGTCTTTCTTCATCCATGTTCTGCATCCTGCCTCATTGTGGATGGTGAGAGTTAGTAGTTCATTCCAGTTTGGTGCAGAAATGAAAGTGTTTGCACAGTTTATCGGAACCAGATGCAGAAGGATTCTGCATGCCAGGGTTGAAGTGCCTTTGCAAAGCTGTGAAAAATTGAAGGGGGATAACGGGACAGGAACTGAATGTTCTAGTAGTGACAGGAATTTTAGCTTTCTTCTTGCTTTTTTGTCGCAGAAGATGTATTGCCTGGGCTTTAATGGAAATGGACAGTTTCAGAGAACAAAAGGCAATCATTTTAGAAGAGGTTAGACAATGATAGTGAAAGACTGCAGAAGTACTCTCAAGCATTATCATATAATTCAGGATCTTGGCATAATACTGGATTCTTGCATCATTTATCAGCTTCAGCAACAAAGCAGTGATTATATATATTATGTTGACAATACTGTATGCCTGTTTTAAAGCAGCATGCAAAAAGGAATAGAATGGATTAAACAAGGCCAGGCCTCTCTTGCCTCATCTCTGAAAGGAGGAAAATGAGTTCTTTATGGTGTATGAATGCTGGCTTGTAGCATGTGCAGAAACTGGAAAAGTTTGTTTCAAGATGGAGTTGTGGGCTTGCCTGAACTCTTTTCCCATGGCATATTAGGATCTGGTTGTTCTGACAGTTGTAGCAAGCTTAGTATTCTGGGGACAGACAGCAGCTCCTGTTTATTAATGACCTATTTCTGAAGTTAACAGAAAAATGGGGGGAAAAAAAAATCTTCTTTTGCCTGCGACAGAGAGGTGAATAAAATAGTCTGAGGTATAGATAGTGCTCAGGATGTGGTGTAGTCCCATGGGCTCACTTGTCTCTTCATCCCCTCTTTTCTGGCCCGCAGGCATGAAAACAACTGTCAGTGAAGCAGAACATCCTCTGTTGTGTGAAGGCACCCGAAGGGAGAAAGGGGATCTGGCACTAGCCCTGATGATTACTTACAAGGATGATCAGTCTAAGCTGAAGAAGGTGAGTTTCCCTTTAAAAGGGGAGAGGGAGATGCAGAGCAAACCATGTTTGGATTTTGATGGATTTGATAGTTTTGCCAGTGAGCATAAGTTGCTTTGTCATGTTCTGATGATTTATAAGCTACGTTGTAGCGTTTATATTCTTCCACTGATGCAAAATCTGATTGTGCAGTGGGCATTGCCCTGAAATTTCCATGGGTTTCTTAAGGTCCAGTTGGGAGATGCGTTCTCACTGCTTTTAATGCTTTTGCTTACCTGCTAAAACAAGTCCTTTGTCCCAGGGGTTTTCAGTGTGCACTGTGTGTGTGGTCTGGGGATTGATTCTGTTTTGCTGCAGGGACGCTGGCTTGCAGAACAATATATCTAGCAAAGCCTTTGTTTCTTAATCTCTCACCTCTGATATACTAGTTTAGTCCACCTGTGCCTTAACTTCCTATGTAAGAGAGAGAGTAAAACTCTACCCCCTCCACCCCAAAGGAGGAAAAAATATCAAAAACTGCTGAAGCTTTAGGAAGGGTTTTAATAATCTTTTATATTCAGAAACACTTCTACCCAGCAAGAATATTATTAGTGTCTTTCTGTCTACTAAAGTAGAACCACTTTTGCTATACTCTTCTACAGGGAATAACAGGGACGTTGTGATATCAGTCATCTGCAAATAAATGCTCTGTCACAGTCGTGGTGTTCATTTCGTGTGGAGAATGAACAGTAGAAATGGACAAACCCATAAAATGTGGTGATGCATTATTCCCCAATTACGTAATAAGTAAGGATAAGAAAGTGTTATTGTAGGCTGGTAGAAGGCAGTTTCTCTAGTGTCTGAAAGTCTCAGAAGGCTTTACCAGTTTCTGAGTAATGGTATGACAGGATTTTTTGGATGGTGAGCGAAGAATTTTGGTTACTTAAACAAGAACATCTAAGGACTGGCAGAACTAAATATAGAGTCCTCCGTTCTGTCCTTGGTGTACCAGAATTACTTCTGTATTGTGAGTTTTGGGTGCTTTCCAAGTAAAGGCAGTGGCTTTTTGAAGTGAAAATGGGGATATTACTGAGTACAAATGAATCTTTGCTTCTTCAGTAATGCTGGCCACATGGCTCTCAACTGTGCATCGCTGATCTTCAGTGCAGGAAGACGATGCTGACTTTCTAGAGAACAAACATTTTCTCTTTTTTCCAACCAAATGGAATTTATTGTCCACCAGGAAGCTGGTTTGGTACTTTCCCTCTGTGTCAGAGTGTAATGCCACCTGTTTTTTTGTTTTTTCCTTGCTGTTAAAGATTTTAGACAAACTCCTAGACAGAGAGAGTCAAACTCACAAACCACAGACTCTGAGTTCCTTCTACTCATCCAGCAAGCCTACAGTAGCAAATCAAAAATCTCCTTCCAAACATGCTGCCCAGTCCACTGCAGCGATCCAGCAGCTTCCAGGGACTTCTGTCACTCAGCAAGCTGCTGTAAGCACTGCAGTCCAGAGCAGTCCCGAGAACTTCGTGGAGAAGAGCGCACAGGGTAAGAGGTGCTGTGTAAGGCCTATGCTGAAACCCTTCTGTTATCAGTGCAAAACTGTCACTGTACATTTGTGTCTGTTTTGGGAAGTAGTCAGAGTGATTTATATTACCATCTGGCTGCTTGGTGGTTACTAGAATGTCATTCCCCTGTTACCTGTTTGGCTGGATCCATTTCAGTACATGTTCTTGCATAGAAATGCAAGCTAATTTTCAGGTTTTCCTATCTTGAGCCAGTTGTATAACCAGTTAACATAAAACTACTGTGACTCCATCTTTTAGGTTTGTATCACAGAGGTGCAGTATTTCAAAAAGTTACACACTGAGTCAGGTACCTTCCTGCAGGATAAATAACTAAGATTGCTGAAGGGCATTAGAGATAAAGGTGGTTTTCTTCAAGCTGTGCCTCCACTTTGGTGGCAAACATCACATATAGCAGCATTTGGTGGAAAGCAGATGCTCTCTTATCTCTTCCCAAAGAGATCAATACTAGCTGAGGATGACTTCAATAAGGTTAGGGTTGCTGGAGCATTTTTATTCTAAAATTTTTCTGTAGTTGCAGCAAATTGGCCCGGTCTCGGATGATATGCTTAATACTGAAAGAAAATTGAGATAATCCTGCTCATAAATACCACTCACTTTATAAAAATCCTGCATCTTCTGATGTTTATCTTTTTAATGGCCACATCTGGTTTTAGAGATACAGAAACAAATCATAATGTTTACCTTGTCACTGTCCTGTTTATGTAGAGAGCTCTCAGAGGTCCCCCTGTGAACCAGCTGTGGAGTCCACTGTCTTGAAACAAGAGGGAAAGGTCCCCAGTCGTCTGGCCCTTGGAAACCGAGGTGGATACAATGGGAGATGCTGGGGTTCACCTGTCAGGCAGAAGAAGAAACACACAGGTAGGAACTGACTAGTTCATACAGCATCTAGTGCTGTGCTAGGCAGCCTGCTGGGGTTTCAGCAATTCCCTTGCTCTTTCATTCCACTTATCAGCCTTTCCTGTACTACAGAAGCAGTTGATTGTCTCTGAGGTGTTTGGCAAGGAGAAATAGGTTTTGCTCCACAAATTTCCTGCCCCTGTCTGTATGGCAAGTTACCATACCTTTCTTGTGCCAGATGTGTTCTGGGTGATTGGATTAGATATCTGGAGCCGAATGATTGCCGGGCTCTGGGAGCGGAGCACTGTGCTCCTGGGTCCAGAAACAAATTCAGAGGAGCTGCTGCCTCTCTACACTTCTCTTGGGAAGGGTATAATTTAGAGGCTGAAGATGTGAAGAACCTTTGTGTAAATTGTGCAGCATATACCAGAAGGGTTTTCTTCATACTCGTACAATCTGTGGAACTTGACTTTGTATGTATATTTGCTTCTTGTTGTTATATTCTGCCACAAAGCTTGGCAGATGGAGTGAGGGGCTGGGGTGGTGTGAACGGGGAAATAAAGATACATTGTTCTGGGACTCTTCTGCTTTTTAATCCAAGAACTCCAAAATGACACTGATATCTATGGCCAAACTGACTAATTTAATCTCTCTTAATTTGCAAAGTTGAATGCCTGGCAACTGTAAGGCTGACTGTCACTGACACGACTGATCTTATTTGGGACTGTAGGTGATGTGGGTAGGAGTTTACCTACCCACATTACATTTACCAACCCTGGTGACATTACTGTGTTGGTTCTGGTGTTGTAGGCATGGCTAGTATTGACAGCAGCGCTCCTGAAACCACCTCTGACAGTTCTCCAACGCTCAGTCGGCGTCCGCTACGTGGGGGATGGGCAACAACATCCTGGGGCAGAGGACAGGACAGTGACAGCATCAGCAGTTCTTCAAGTGATTCGCTGGGATCTTCCTCTTCCAGTGGCAGTAGGAGAGCCAGTGGGGGAGCCCGTGCAAAGACTGTGGAAGTTGGCAGGTAATGCACAATACCAATGCATGGAGGCAACCTCTAGGCCTGATGTCAGGGCAAGTGTGCATCAGGAAGTACTTCCTTGGGAGCGTTTGCTTTGTTTCCTCTGGACCCTAAAGACAGGAACTCTGCACCCCGGCTAGTGAACTTGGGGTACTTGTCGCTGGCTGAAAGGTTCCTCTATCTTTTTCCTTTAGGTATAAAGGGAGGCGGCTGGAGAGCCATGCTCCTCATGTCCCGAACCAGCCCTCAGAAGCAGCTGCTCACTTCTACTTTGAATTGGCCAAGACAGTCCTTATCAAAGCAGGTGGAAACAGCAGTACCTCCATCTTCACCCACCCTTCCTCCAGTGGTGGGCACCAGGGACCACACCGCAACCTTCACCTCTGCGCCTTCGAGATTGGGCTGTATGCACTAGGGCTGCACAACTTCGTGTCTCCCAACTGGCTCTCTCGAACTTACTCCTCCCATGTCTCTTGGATCACAGGTTACAGCAAAACTTTATTGGGAAACTTGTTTTTTGGGCAGAAAGGAGAGGGGGGGAGGCGAGCTTATGCCCAAAAATGGTGATGCTGATGTGCTGTGGTATCCATGTAAGCTGGCTGACACAGCTGGCAGTACAAGCTGAGCACCAGTGATTTACATGGTGGTGCTTGTTTTGGCCTGGAAAGTTCTTGTGACCTGTTTCTTCTTGTTTGTACTGCAACATCCTTCAGTCCTCAGAGCCATAGACCACTTCTCACACAGAGACTGGTCTTAACTTCTCCTTTGGGGGAGCTCCTGAAGAGACAGACATTTGTCAAGTTTGAACATGCTCTTTGGCTGTGTTCAGGATTTCACTTTCTTCCTTCTTCTGTTTGCACCCAGACTACCTACTTTCTATCCACATGGCTTCTAGAGCCTGAAAAACACACCCTTGAAAAGTCATGTGTTCCTGACACGATGGAAATAGAGCGACAGTCCAGGCTGTGGTTTGTGGGTACTAAAATCAGCTATAGCAAGTTCCTCTCACTGCCTCAAATGCATCTTTAGCTTAACTTTGATAATGGTACCCTCACTCACTGCTTGCTTATTGAGGGCTCTTGCCTGTCCTCTGTTTTGGGAGGAAGAGCCTAAAGTTGACTTAGAGCCTAAGGGGAGCAACTGGGCTCTGTTGCTGCTCCTGAAGGAAGTGAGGAGTGCACCTCCTGTTGAGGGAAAGCTGACTGGAACTGCACTGGGCATACAGCGGTGTGAGAGTCTTCTCTTTTACTCTTAGGGCAGGCCATGGAGATTGGTAGTGCAGCCTTGAACATCTTGGTGGAGTGTTGGGATGGACATCTGACGCCCCCAGAGGTGGCATCGTTGGCAGACAGAGCTTCACGGGCCAGAGACTCCAACATGGTGCGGGCAGCTGCTGAACTGGCACTCAGTTGCCTGCCCCATGCCCATGCCCTGAACCCAAATGAGATCCAGAGGGCTCTGGTGCAGTGTAAGGAACAGGTGAGTATGACATGGGGACTGGCTAGCGCAAGCTGATTTTCGGCATCAAGGACGTGCTGTTACTTGTGGGATTGGCTCCTCTGCCACTGGACAGCCTTAATCCCAGTTCTGTGGATTTCTTATCTTTCATGAATAATTCTGGTTATTCTGCTGCATAATTGTGATCTGTCTGCTCCCCATAGCGTCAGTCATTTTAGAGCACCTTATACTTTTCTCCTGTTGTAGTTTTGCCTTCTTGTGTTTCTGGTTTTGCATTCTTCACTTCTGGTTTTCTTTCACTGCCCCCAGGACAATCTGATGCTGGAAAAGGCCTGTATGGCAGTAGAAGAGGCAGCCAAAGGAGGTGGCGTGTACCCAGAAGTCCTCTTTGAAGTAGCTCACCAGTGGTACTGGCTTTACGAACAGACTGTTGGTGGGACCCCAGCCCAGAGAGAAGGTGCCACTGGCCCCTGCAGTGCCAGTGGTGCACGGGCTGCCTCTGAAGCAGCACGTGGGTTGACAGACAACCGGGTGACCTCTGAGCCGACCACTGTAACAGTGGCAGCTGCGGTAACTGCGGCAGCAACAGTCATGCCGGTGATCTCTGTGGGGTCGACCATGTACCAGCAGCATACAATGGCAGGGCCAGCAATGGCACATACACACACGCAGGGCCTCCACCCTTACACCACCCTTCAGACTCACATCCCCTGTAATCCCCAGTATATTGGACACACTATCCAGCACATGCCGCGCCCAGCTGTCTTCCCGGTGCCTGGCTCAGCGTACCCGCAGGTGAGTTTTGCCTGTGCCTTGTTCATTTACGGTGACTTTGTGTGGCTGCTTCCAGGAGGAGTGCGTCTGACTGGGGAGAGCGTGGGGCTCAGACCTGCCGTGGCTTGAGATCTACCTTCTGCTCTCACTTGCCGATTTGCGATACTGACTTTGGCTCCTCAGCTCAGCTTTTGCATTATAAGGAGCCTTCTGTGGGTGCATGTAAAGTCTCAAGAGCATATAAAATATAATACATCAGTAGTTTTTAATTTTTATTGCTCTATAGTTTCTCAGAAGGCACCGGACAGAAAGCTTGTCTTCTTGAGAGCTTGCAGGCTAAATAGAGACTACAGAGGGAAAACCAAACAAAGGTTATTTTAACCTCTGCCTATTTTTGAAAGTTCTTGGAGTGGTTTTTTGCAAACTGATTAGATTTAAAAGGAGGAGGAGCAAGAAGATGTAATGGTCATGTGGTGCAACATAGTTTCTGTGCTGATTCTTCCTGTGCTTCCTCCTCCCTGTCAGACTGGACTTCGAATGCTCTGGGGTTTGTGTGGGGACATCGTGTTTTGGACTACTTCTAAACGGCCAGGCGAAGTAGACATGACTGTTACTTATTTTCTGTTTTAGGGTGTCCATCCAGCATTCATAGGAGCACAGTACCCTTACTCGGTAACAACACCATCATTGGCAGCTACAGCAGTGTCATTCCCTGGTGTGCCGGTCCCATCCATGACGCAGATTGCAGTGCATCCCTATCACAGTGAGACAGGACTGTCACTGTCTTCCAATGTAGCGAGTAAGTGTTACAGCCCTGGGCTGTGCATAGCATAGGTTTATTTACTGTGCATCCTAGCTGTACCCCAGTTGAGTCCTGCCCCTCATTGACCGCAGGTGGAACCAGGGTTCTTGCACTGAAGGGTTCTGACCAAATCTACCCCAGCCTAAAGATGTGCATGCTCGGGGGTACTGGGATTCATAATGGGGTCTGATTCAGCTAGTGGAGCTTTAATTTCTGTTTAGCTAAATTTCCAGTATGAGATTATTTTGGCCTCTCAGACTAAAGTGAGTTTGGAACCCTCCTGGCCTTTGTGACTTCTAACTTATTAGAGCTTGCTTCCCCCTCTCCTTAGGGCAAGATGAGCATAGATGATCTTGAGCAGGCTCTTGTGGTTCCTTTGGGTCAGATGACTAGAGAGTGCAGGAAGCAGGCAGCAGGCAGACTTCTGCTACAGTAGCACTAATAGATGTCTTTCCTGCCCGAAGGGATTGGAGGCAGCCAGTACCCGAAATGTGGAACTTCTGTAGAGAGGACAGGTGTTTTGGCAGGATCATGTCAATGGCAATCTGAATGATTGCTCACATATGGTGTTGGGGCCACAGTGTTGGTGAAGACCCATCAAGTAGTGTGCAGCACTGGAGCAGCAGATGTTGACTGAATTGTGGATGTGCTCTCATTGCCATGGGGTTTTGCACCAGTGGGTCATGGTTGACCCAGGCTCTGTTATCCCCTCACTGGAGAGGCTGTAATGTTTGCCTATTTGTACATTTGCTTATCAGTGCTTTGCAACTCACCAGGTGCTGGAAGACTGGTACGTGGGAAAGCACTTAGGAGCTGTGTTGTCCTCCTTCATATCCGGATTATCAGGAGAATCTTTTCAGTTATTTTTATCTTGCATTTTGATGCCAAAAAGCCACCACAAAAGCAGCTAGAATAGTCCTGAAAGCCCCAGGATCTGAAAAGCATCCTTTACTGACAGCCTTAGTCCTGGGCTGATGCTGTGACTCTTAATTGTGAGAAACCATTTCTGTACCACTCCAAAGAGTTATGAATCTTCCAGAACTGCTAACTCATCCTAGAGCACTTAAAATAACGAAAGGAAGAAACAACTCCACCCTTTCCAGTTGCCATTGTTTGTAGCTTACATAAACTTCTGTTCTCAGTTCTTAAAATACTGTTTCACTGTTCCTGGAGTACGTAATCATGTGATGATGCTTGAGCTCTGGCAACAATTCAGCTCATTCTTACGGGTTATTCTCCTTGGCCAGACTTCAAATGCAGCATGGATTTTGCCCCACTTTGTGGGTTGTTTGGCACTGTGTGCCTGCTTGGTTGAGGAGGTCAGACAGATCTTTCCTGGGAGGCATATTGTTCTCAGGTATTCAACTACTCACTAGTAAACATTTTAAAAAAAATGCTGGCGGTGGCAGGGGAAGAGGAGAAATCGGAACTTGGAGCATTGCCCAAGCTGGTGTAGTAGCACCACAGAGAAGCTGTGAAATAAGGGTACCAATGTGCACGCACCTAATGGCATCTCTGCTCTGGAATTCTCGGACAAACCTTGCTTTTTCCTCTCCATACCTTTCTCGAGACGGAAACTTAGATAAACTTGAGTCCCTTGTCAGAGTACAGCTTACTGGCTCAGTATTAACTGTTGTCTATACAAGGTTAGGTGGTACAATGTAATGGATTTTCCTGTGATTTCCCTTGATTTTGCACATGCTAGTTAAGAGTCTGAAGGTGACAGCTTCTCAAGTTTCCGTACTGTTTTTGCTGTTGGTACGCGCTGCCAGTGTATGCAATGGCTGTTCTTTCCAAGGATGGATTGGAGGCTAGCTGCCAGTAACATTCTTCCTGCATGGTAGCTGGATGGAGCCATAGCTGTCTTACAGCAGAAGTGGAGGAACCTCACAATGTTGGACTTTTATCTTTGAGTGACTTAATACTGCTCCTGCTCAATGATTTTCCTCAGCAGTTTCTCATCAGGTGTAGACATGCACATGCTTGTTTCCTTGGACAAGAAATCAGAACCAGACATGTCATTTAATAATAGCAAAGACCTTTGAGACAGCACATGTATTTACATGTAAAACATGGATGATATGCATGTTCATGGTATACTGCAAAAGAGATGGACAACCGTGTAACTGACCCCCTTCAGGCCCTACTTGCAAACGAAATAGAGATATTCCTGGCCTATTGTATTTCAGTTGTATGTCTGTAGTTTTTGGTTGCTGTATTGTTCTGTTTAGGGGAACAGAACACTACATTGTCTGGGGCGGTCAGGTGAGGGAGATGATGGCCCAAGTAAACCTTCTTTTAGGCTGGTGGTGGGTCCTAATGCTGCTGTTTTGCTCTCTTCAGTAGGAAGTGTCCATGCAGGATCAACGTTCCCAGCGATTCAGGGGGCTTCCTTGACAACTCTGTCCTCACAGCCCAACTCCCTTGTTACAGGGGGTTTTCCTGCCGAGGATGAGCAGCACAGTCAGCCTGTGAGCCCCCAGGGTCTGCACTACCTCCACTCCGCATACCGAGTTGGTAAGGACGGCCAAGTGGGTTTCTATGGCCCCTTCGAGAGGGATTCAGGGCAAGGCTGCAGGTTTTCACTATCATTTGGCAATTTGCTACTGCACCGGTTGGGGGTGATGGCATCTTAGCTACATGGGGAAAGCCAGGTCATGATCATATGTGGAGGCTAAAAATGGAGACAAAGCAATAGAAGATTGAGCAGTTGCTGTTGAGAGCCATCAGAGTAGAAGAGAAAACTGAGTGGGTTAGAGCTGGGAAGAGTCTTGCCTTTCAGCAGGTGTATGCAAAGGAGTCTGGATAGGGCTCTGAGGATGTGGTTGTGTAAGTTGTGACTGTGCGAAAAAATGGAGTTCAGCTCCTGCTCCTCATGGGTTGTGCAGGCACACCTCTAGTTTAATAATACCAGTTGAGTCTTCCGAGGCACAGAGGGATGTGCCCTGTGCCTCTTTAGCTAGATTGTTGAAGACTGACATGGAGGGAACTTATATTTTGTGGGGAGTGGGTATGTAGTTAGCATTCTTTTCCCAGTCACACTGGTTATGAGGAAATAGAGTCTCTGCCTGAACTGCAATTGGTACAAGGATATCAGTCTTGGGGTTTGTGATTGAGCTTAGACTGCAGTAAGCTACTCGTACATAGTCATGGTCCAACCCAGTGGATACTTGGGGAGGGAGAAGGGAGCCTCTAAGATAAGCAAAGCCAGCCCAGGGCAGCAAATGAAGAGAAGCAGCAAGAAAATGGAAGGAGGGCTATCTGGAGGTTGCTTGAAGTTTTTTTTGTTGAAAGCTAGAGTAGAAAGTACTTGTTAGACAGAAAGGGGTGCAGATGTCATTGGAAACATCGCACTGGTAAGTGGTAAACCATGAAAAGCATTTAGTAGTCTGAATAACAGAGAAGGGGGTGGGGGAAGAGGGTCTGGAATATCAAGACATAGTGCCTGCTGGTATTTTAAAACTTTTTAAATGGGTGGATTTGCGTGAAGAATGTAGTGGAATAAGTGAAATGTTTCCAGATTGGCAATACTGCAGCTCAGCATTGGCTTGTTGTCTTGCAGCTGAGTAGGTTGATGTGGGTAGCTTCTCTGCTGCAAAATTTGGAGCAAATGCATTGCTTTCAGGACACCTCTTGTAGTGCAGCCTTTGGGGCTATCTGCTTGACCCTGCTGTAGGTGCTAGCAGAGTCTCTCTTTGCAGCTCTAGTGAGGTGTGATGGCAGTGCAGATTTCCGAACCTGGAGCAGCAGATCCAGATGTTCTTGCAGATACTTCCTGTGGTGAGAGGCTCCAAGATGGGCCTTTTGTTTCTCTCTGGACTCTTTGGAGCTAGGGAATTTTCTGCTGATGAAGGACAGGCCAATCAGGTTGTGTTGCAGTGAGTGAAGTGCTAGACTAAGTCTTACTGGGCAGAAGTGCTGCTTGACTCTGGCTGCCCCTTTCTCACAGGGATGCTGGCTCTGGAGATGCTTGGCCGAAGAGCTCACAACGACCATCCCAACAACTTCTCCCGCAGCCCACCCTACACGGAGGATGTAAAATGGCTCCTTGGGTTAGCTGCGAAGTTAGGTAAGGCTCAGAGCAGTACTTCAGCAGAAATCCACTTGCTGGGATTTGGACCGTGGTGGGAAAAAGCTCTCCAAAGAGTGAAAGATTGGGTGAACCTGATATCTGATCCAATTTCTGAGAACGTTTCAGAAGATCCCTGCTGCTCTTTCATCCAGGCAGTTGTCCCATTTCTGGGTTCTGTAGGCGTGCTGTTGAATTTTGAGGCACTGGATGAAGTGCATGGGGTTGGACAGGGCTCAGAACTTGTATTTCTTCCATTCTATAACAACAACTTTTTCTTTTCCCTTTCCACTATCTTGTAGGTATTCCTCTTTCTTATGTAGGTTTACACCTTCTGTGAAGACCTTTTATAGCAATAGGTGCTTAAACCACCAATTGTTTGGTTTTTCTTGTTTTGTTTTTACTTCCACATTGCTCTTGGATCTTTTTTGTCAGTTCATTTTTTTAATTCTTTCATCAGCAGTAAGAACTTAAAAAAAAACCCAACCTCTACAAACAGCCTGTCCAGTGGCATGGCTTCTCCTGCTGCTGCTGGGGGAGCTCCACTGTAGGCAGCAGTGGGAAAGCTTGACTGTCTCTCCACGCTCCCTAAGGCCTGAGCGTTGGAGCGTCTAGGTGCTTCCTAGATGGGGAGGCAAGAAGCAATGGGAGGAGGTGCCATGTATCCTTGCCTCTGTAGTTACCTTGCACATCAGTTGTCTTTCATATCCCTTTTAAAGAGAGGTGAACTGGGAATATCAGTGACTGAGGTGGTACCTGGTCTCTACTCAGACCTGATGGGTATATTAGAATGATCTCTTGTCCCCATGAGTTTGCTAGAGTGTCTCTCCCGAGCCTGCTGGAGGATACATTACACTGAGAAGAAGGTGCTCCAAATCCAGGTTTTTGCTGGGAGGTACCTGATTTCTTGTGTTCCTCTTACCTTAACGCTGTTGTTCTGACTTCTCCTTCCTGTGCAGGTGTAAACTACGTGCATCAGTTTTGCGTTGGTGCAGCCAAGGGGGTGCTGAGCCCTTTTGTGCTCCAGGAGATCATCATGGAAGCTCTACAGAGGCTCAACCCTGCCCATGTGCACAACCACCTGCGCACCCCAGCCTTCCACCAGCTGGTGCAGAGGTGCCAACAGGCCTACTTGCAGGTAACGTATGGCCTGTCTTCCTGCCTGTCAAAGCTGCCAGGCCATTGCCTGCCTTGCAGGTACTGCCTGTGTGTGTGTGTGCAGAGGGGAAGGGGACCTTGGGTACTGGTAGCTGAACTGGTCCATTGCCTGATGCATCCCTCTCCCTCAGTAGGGACTAGAATAGGCATCGCTTGCCTGCATGGAGGCTGCGTCATTGTACTGCTTCTTCCAAGGCCTCTTGCCTCCTGTGCTCACCACAAAGGATGGGGTGGTTCTGTGTTCCCCGTCCACTTTCTTCCTCTCTCCAAATGCTACCTGTACCTTTTAACTTCTGTACTTTGTCTTTGCTATGTTTTCAGGCCCCCTGCCCACCTCCCTTCGTAGCCTATCTTTTTTTTCTTTCCTTGTTTGTAGCCTGTCTTCCCCTCGTCATGAAGCCCTGGCATGGCTGTCTGGTGTGCCAGTGCTGGCACTAATAGTGGAAGTGGCTTGGTCAGCTACCAGTACGGATGAGATATCTCAGGATTTATTGAAACCAGGACAAGTGTGTTGCAGTGAGCCAGCTGGAATACCAGAGCTGCCTGTTCCTTAAAACAGTGTAAACAGGATACACCACATGTACCTACTTCTCTTGAATAAACGACCAGAAGGGTGATTCTGTAGACATACTGTCCAGGTTGGATTAGCTGTCCTATCACCTAGGTGATATTTTTGAGAAATGACAGTTTCTTCACTTAAGCTCTTTTTCTGAGCTACATTAGGGAAATAGATTTCTCAAAAGCTGGACCTGCAGTTTTGGGGCCTTAGTTGAGAAGCTGATGGAAGTGACAGCGCTAAGCTAAGCCTAGAGGTATTTTGTAGCAACTTAGTGTAAGCCTTACTCCTTCCATACCCGTTAGCAAAGGAGATGTCCAGTGAACGTGCTGGGTCCCCATGTATAACCTGCAGAATGAATGGTATGAGGGTTAGATGCTGGTGGGTGGTGGGGTAGAGTGTTAGCTGGCCCTTTTGCACTGTACTATGGCACACTTTGGTGCTCATGAAGGAGAGAACACCTGCTGATGCTGTGTGGTGCATTTTGGTACTCTGAGGGGACACTCGCCTTGGCCGTGTTAGGATGTAAGATACAGCACTGCTGTCTTTTGAGCTAGCTCTCCTCTGTCAGAGCCTCTGAGTCTTGGGACCTCTCATGGGGTAACAGGATCATGTGACGTATCACCCTGGCAGCTCTTGAGTCCTCCTCTGAGTGTCACCAGCATGAGGGTGGTGAGCAAATACCTTAAGGCT